TGGCAGGGTGGTCTTTCGGCAGTAGGTGGTGGTCTCTCGGCCTGGCATGGTGGTCGTTCGGCAGGAAGTGGTGGTCTCTCAGCCTGGCAGGGTGGTTGTTTGGCAGTAGGTGGTGGTCTCTCAGCCTGGCAGGGTGGTTGTTTGGCAGTAGGTGGTGGTCTCTCGACCTGGCAGGATGGTCTTTCGGCAGTAGGTGGTGGTCTCTCGACCTGGCAGGATGGTCTTTCGGCAGTAGGTGGTGGTCTCTCGGCCTGGCATGGTGGTCTTTCAGCAGTAGGTGATGGTCTCTTGGCCTGGCTTGGCCTCAGCGTGGATTCCAGTCTCAAGGTGATTCCTGAAAGTGTGGACCCACTGTGGCTAAGCACTAAAGAAAGATTGTAATGTTTGAACTTTCAGCTCTATTTCTTTATTTTCTACTTAAACCTAAGAAGATCTGCAATGTGTAACTCTTAATCTTATTCTGCATGTTTTCCACTACGCTATAATCACTGCAAAGTTTAACTTCTAATTTTGTTCTTTCTTTCTACCTTGTTCTTATGATTCTGTACCAAGGTACTTATACCTAAAATGGCACCTTGTGTGGTGACATTATACATTTTTCACTGTAATCCTGTGCTTTTGTACTTGAGTACACGTGACAATAAAATTAAAATCAAAACAAATCACCTATACTATGAACAAAGCAAACAAGACACAACCAATTCAAAGCTGGGGGCTAAGGAGGGGTGAGAATTTAAGAAAAATGGAGAACAAATATCATGCCATCAGTCTCTGAAGTTATTGAATTCAATATGGAGGCCTTGAGGCTGTAAAGTACCTAAATGGAAAATAAGGTGTTGTTCCTTGAGCCTGCATTGTATTTCATCGGGTTGTTGAAATGGCAAGCAGCTGGGATATCAGGGCCATTCCTATTGACAGAGCTGAGAAATTTCATACGGCAGTCACCTCGTCTGCATTTGGTCTTACCAGTGTAAATGACACTGTATTGTGAAACAGTAGACTAGACTGAAAGATGTACAAGTATAACACTGCTTCACCTGGAAGGCTTAATGGATGTCTTGAACAGTGAGGAGGGAGGAGATTACTGGGCCTGTGTAACATCTGCAATTACATAACTAGATGCCATGAGTGATGAAGTGTTAGGAGTGGATCAGGATGTCATAGGGGGAATAGTCCCTGTGAAATGCTGACAGTGGAGGGGAGGGGGAAGATGCGCTTGGTGGTGGTGGAGGTGTATTCTGCTGGACGTGGTGGAAATGGTATACAAGATCTTTTGATTTCGGATACTGGTCAGGTTGAAAGTCAGGGGTAGGGGATCACTACCATTGTTCTGGGAGAGAGGGGAATAGGTGAGGGCAGAAGTGCAGGAGATCAGTCAGATGCAGCAGAAAACCCTGTCAATGACAGTAGTGGGAAATCCTCAGTTGGGGAAAAAGATCACATTGGATACAACATGGTTGGAAGTAGCATCATCGGAATAGACGCAAAGGAGACACAGAAAATGGTAGAATGAATGGAATCCTTGCAGGAAGCAGGGTGTGAGGAGGTGTAGTTGAAGTAACTGTGAGAATCAGTGAGCTTGTTATGGATATTGGTGGATGACTTATCCTCAGGAATGGAAACAGGACTTATCCTCAGGAGTGAAGTCAAGCATGGGAAAAGTCAGAGATGGACCAGGTGGAATTGAGAGAAGGATGGAAACTGGAAGCAAAATTGATATATCTTCCCTCAGTTCTGAGGAAGGGTTACCGGACCTGAAATGTTAACTCTGCCTTCTCTTCACAGATGCTGCCAGACCTGTTGGGCTTTTCCAGCAATCTCTATTTTTGTTTCTGATTTACAGCATTCACAGCTCTTTCAGTTTTTATTTGGCTTGAACAAACAATGTTCTGCATAACCCCCCCAAACAGAGAGGCAAAGCTGGAACCCACGTGGGTATCCATGGCCACACCTTTGACTTGGAGAAACTGAGATGAGTTAAAAGAGAGGTTGTTTCAAGTGTACATGTCCAGTGAAAGAGAGTGGTGGTGGATAAAAGCTGTGCAGGCCTCTTCTTAAGGAAGGAGCAGAGAGTATTCAGACCATTCCAATGGAGAATGGATGTGTAGATGGATTGAACATTTGTGGTGAAGGGAGATGGCTAGGATGAGCCCGAACCTGCCATAAAGCGTCAGAGGAATCACCAGTGTAAGTGGGAAGAGACTGAATGGAAGGGGTGGGAAATGGGAAATACAGTCAAATTAGGACGAAATAAATTCATTGGGTCAGGAACAGGCTGAAATAATGGATGTTCCAGGGCAGTCCTATTTGTGGATTTTGGGAAGGAGATAGAAGCAGGCTGTGCGGGGTTTGGAGATTATGATGTTGGAAGATGTTGAGGGGAAATCTCTAGAGGAGATGAGGTTTGTGACAGTCCTGGAAACTTCAGCCTGATGTTCAATTCAGGTCATGATCCTGGGAGTGACAGGAGGTAGTGTCTGACAGTTGGCACATAACCTCTGCAATGTACAGATCAGCTCGCCAGATGACGGTGGCACCACTCTCATCAGCAGCAGGTTTAATAACAAGGTCTGGGTTGGACCTTATGGAAGGGAGTGCAGCAAGTTCAGAGCAAAACAAGTTAGAGTGAGTGGGGTGGGGGAGGGCAGAGTAATTAAGGCAGCAAATGTCACACCAACAGTTCTCAATGAAGACATGAAGTGCTGCCAAAAGGCCTGAGGAAGTGGTCCGGGAGAAGGGGGAGTATAGGAGACAGGTGAAAGGGTCTATGGATGGGGAGCAGGACTCCCATCGAAATAAATGGGCGATGATGATGGAAGAAGAGTTCAGCGTCATATTGTGCCCAAAATGCATTGAGTTGGCGTACAAGGAGATAAAGCTAGGTTCTTTATTTAGCACAGGTCATTCAGCATCAGAAAAGGAAAAGTCAGAGGTTATGGCAAATACCAAGGAGGACATTGGGTTAGATGAAAAGATGGATTCTGAAAGGGGGTGGGTAAAAAGATCCAGAGAGGCATTAGTACACCTTAGTTCCTTAACACCGCAAAGAAAAACTTTTTGGGTGTTGAATGAGACAAAGGATGGAATGGAACTGGGGACTGGGACAGCTTTGACCGAGTATGAGGCAGTGCTGATGATTTGGCCTGAATTGGATCATTGCATTCAGTGCTATGCTCCTGACATTGGAGAGAATGTGAATCCAATAGAAATATTTGAAAACAGGATTAATGGGAATCGTTCCAGCAATGAGAAGTTATGTAGGTAAGTTGTAGAAGTTGGGACACTTTCTGCTGGACGAAAATGTGGAGAGGAAAATTGAGACAAATATTCAAAATCATGAAAGATCTGGACAGAGTAGAGGGAGAGAAATTATTCCCGTTTGTGGAATGATTGAGCATCAGGCGGCACAGATTTAAGATAATTGGCAAAAGAAGCAATGGTGACACAAGGAATAACTTGTTTTGAAAGTGGTCAGTGCTTAGAATTGGAATTTGTGCCTCTGAGTGTGGAGGAGGCAGAATCGATTGAGACTGATAACACAGAATGGAATCATCTGAAAAAGGAATTTGTTGCAGGGCTGTGACATGAGTGGATCAGAGGGGCCAACATAAATATTCCTGTGAGATAGTAGGAACTGCTGATGCTGGAGAATCTGAGATAACAAGGTGTAGAGCTGGATGAACACAGCAGGCCAAGCAGCATCAGAGGAGCAGGAAAGCTGACGTTTCAGGTCCGGATCCTTCTTCAGGAAAAAGGGTCTGAAGAAGGGTCCAGACCCGAAACGTCAGCTTTCCTGGTCCCCTGATGCTGCCTAGCCTGCTGTGTTCATCCAGCTGTGCACATTCTTACATCATAAATATTCCTGTATTTTTGTATCATAAAATCCCCCTCAAGCACTTTGCATTGAATTTATAGTTTTTTCACTTAACCTGTTCAGAGATGTTATGACAAACCTTTGGGCCAGGTGGGACTTGAACCGACATCTTCTGGCCTAGAAATAAGGAAGTGACCAGGACGCCACAAGACCCGAAAACACATTATCCCGGGCCCTTTTCTTTCCTGTAAGTGTGTAATCAACCTTTACACTGTGTTGTGACACGCCTTAGAAGCTACCATTGTATCACAAGAGCCTTTGCTACATTGCAATTATAAAATGGAATTAATACGCTATTTATATTGCGATGCACGCATCATGACCCGCCTTCTTGCTGGTGATGCTGCCTCAGCCGGTGCTCTCGTTGGCTGTAGCTCAATGCCACAAAAGGTGCTAGTGAACATTTAGAGAGGGAGCTCTGGTTGGGATCGCAGCCTCCCGTATGTTTCGCTGTTGCGGTAGGTGACACGGATACATTGTCAAAAAGTAAACAGATACATGTTCTTGTTATCCCAGGCAAACGGTTTCAGTATCTATAGCTGCTGTGTTTGGGACTGTTTTACTCCCTGCTGTTAACTGCGCTTTCACGACGCGGGACAAACGTATAGGAAAAATAAGCTTAATCTTTGATGCGCAGTAACGAGCGACAAATGCGTCTTAAAGTGCAACTTCCTGCCCGCTGTCGTTGAACAGCTGGGGCCTTGCCCGACCTATTAAATATTGTGGATCTGACCTTTTGGAAGGGCAAGTTCTCTTATTGGTGGTTAGAATTGAAATTGAGATCGGGGTTTGTTAGTGCCACTCGGCGTCAGACCAATAGTCGCCAGGATTTGCAATGGATCCGTGACGAGCAGCTTGCTATGGACTTGGGATTGAAAACAAAAAAAATAGACCCAGGAAAGTCTGTAAGGAGAGATTTCAACTCGCTGTTGTTTCACTCTATTGCAGAACAATATAAATTTTCATTTTTTTAAAAAAATCATTAACAGGATGAGGGCATTGCTGGTGAGGCAGCATTTATTGCCCAGAGGGTAGTTGAGAGTCAACCACATTGCTGTGGGTCTGGAGTCACGGGTAGGGCAGACCAGCTTCCTTCCCCTAAAGGACAGTAGTGAACCAGAAGGAATTTTCCTGACAACGGATTCACAGTCATCATTAGATTCTCAATTCCAAATATTTTATTGAATTCACGTTCCACAGTCTGCTGTGGCAGGATTTGAACCCAGGTCCCCAGAATGTAATCTGGGTCTCTGGTTTAATAGTCCAGCAATAATACCACTAGGCCATCACCTCACATAACAAATGTAGCAGAGGGAGCAGGAAGAACAAAAGAGGTGAAAAGTGGGTAGTAGATATTAGTTGCTCCAGGTGTAATTGTGTGAAAACCAGAATGGTAATCTATATACTAAAGAAACCAAAGATGTGACCAGATGAGATGTGAATGGAATATAGTGGGTTACAGAAAGAAATGAGGCAAGACTCAACTAGCAAAAAAAAAAAGTTGAGGCAAAAGTTTTGATCTAAAGTTGGAGATAGTAAGAACTGCCAATGCTGGAGTCAGAGATAACACTGTGAAGCTGGAGGAACGCAGCAGGCCAGGCAGCATCAGAGGAGCAGGAAAGTTGACATTTTGTGTCAGGACCCTTCTTCACAAAACCCCATTTCTGAAGGGCCCTGACACAAAATGTCAACTTTCCTGCTCCTCTGATGCTACCTGGCCTGCTGTGTTCCTCCAGTTCCACACTTATCTCTTATTTTTGATCTATAGTTGTTGAGCACAATGTAAAGAGCCAAGTTGGGGAAAAAAAAGACGCTTATTCCTTGAGCCAAATGGAGATTAATTGGAGCATGATCAAATTATGGGAGGAAAAAGCAGCAAAGTGGAGTCTTGGTAACATTGGAATGGCCATCAGCATAGTCAACCCATTTTCACCTACTTACGGTCCCCATTATCAGCTTTTTTTTTTCTGAGCATACAATGATCCATCCATTTGTCTTCCTCACTGTTGTTCACTCCCTAGGCTCCATCACCCAGCCTGTCTTCAGCAAATATACCCATCTTCTCCTAGCTATGATCAGTTCTGAAGAAGAGTCACTGCACTCAAAATGTTAACTCTACTTTCTCTCCACAGATGCTGCCAGGCCTGCTGAGTTTCTCCAGCAGTTTCTGATTTTATATCATAATATCCATGATTGTTAAGGCAGGCTAGAAATCACCAAGTGGCCTACCCCTGCTGGTATTCCTTTTGTCCTGCTGCTAGCATTTGGAATGTAGAGCAGTACAGCCTAGGTCATTAACAACTGATAATGGTTCACCTGATGTATATTTGGAATGAAAGGCTTATCCCTTTGAAGAAAGGTGATCAAGTTATGCCTAATCATATTGGAGTTTAGAATGCATGAAGAAATAAGAAATTTACAAATTGATAGGTTTGGTACGTGGCCAAAAGTTTAGCGAATGGATTTTGACATGGATAAGTGAGGTTATCCATTTTAATCTGAAGAATAAAAAGGCAACTTATCATCTGAATGGAGAGAAACTTTAAAATGCTTCAGTGCAGAGGGATCTGAGTGTCCTTGTGCATGAATTGCAAAAAGCTAATATGCAGGTCCAACAGGTAATAAGGAGGGCAAATGGAATTTTGGCATTTTATTGCTATAGGAATAGAGTATAAAAATAGGGAGATGTTATTGCAACTGCATAAGGCATTAGTGATACCACCTCTGGATTATTGCATACAGGTTTTGGTCCATTTGAGGAAGGATATAATTGTATTGGAGGCAGTTCAGGGCAGGTTCACTAGATTAATTAGAGATAAAAGGCTAATGTGAGGAGAGATTAAGTCATAAACTGCTCAATGCTTTGTGGGGTACTTTGTTAAATGCCTATCTACTGCATCCCCTCTATCCACTCTGGTTCAGACTTCCTCAAAAACTCCCCATGCTAAATCTGCTTAATAAGATTATCGTTTTCCAAATGTTCTGCTATTACTTCCTTAATTGATTCCAATGGGTTAAAGGGTTATGGTGACAGGGCAGGAAAGTGGAGATGAGACTGAGATGAGATCAGCCATGGTCATATTAAGTGGCAGAGCAGCCTGAAGGGGCTGAATTGCTTACTTGTGCTCCTTATTTGTATGTAGAAGAATGAACATTAATCTTATTGAAACATGACCCTGAGGAGACGTTTTTGAGTGGATACCGGGAAGATTATTCATCATGTGGGGGAGATTAGAACTAGAGCACACTGTTTAAGAATAAGAGGTTAAGTTTGGAGATGGGATGTTTTATCTCTGAGGCTTGTCGGTCTGTGGAAATCTCTTTCCCCAGAAAGCAATGGAGAATGAGTCATTGAATTTATTCGAGGCTTAGTTGAATCGATTTTTGATAGATGAGAAGGGAGCCAAGGGTTGTGGGGCAAACAGGAAAGTCAAGTTGACACCACCAATAGGTTGCACATGATTTTATTGAATGACAGAACAGACTCAAAGAGCTAAATAGCCTATTCCTGAAGTCCTTTGTTCCTATGTAATATAAACAAGATTAAGTTAGCTTTTTTATAAGGTAGTTAAATGTTAAAGGAGACAGCCAGGAAAGTGCTATTATATCAACAATCAGATCAACCAAAATATTAGCGAATGGCAGAGCAGCTCAATGAACCATATGGCCTACTCATGCTCCATATTATAATCTTTACAGCTTTCTCTGGATATGATGAAACACTATGATTCATAGTGAAACACATATTGGGCAATTTAAAAAATGCATATTTAATCCTTGTTAACATTTTACCTGACACTAAACATTGTTCTTTAATCAGGTGAATGAAAAATGGCATCTGCCCCACACAACTTTTCCTGGATTGAACCCAAAAAGCTGGCTGGGATGGCCATGCCACGATTACCCGCTCACTATCAGTATTTGTATGATAATGGCATTAAACACCTCGTCACGCTTAGTGAGAGAAAGCCACCATACCACGATACTTGTCCAGGACTGAAGATCCATCATATAAAGATCGATGACTTTTGTCCACCCTCTTTCGAACAAATCAAAAGGTTTCTTGCTATCGTTGAGGAAGCCAATGCAAAGGGCGAGGTATGACTGGGCATCGATTACTTTTCTATATATTATTTCTATATTATACTTTTCTATAACAATGTTGCTGAATTTTGTGGTGGAACATCTCTTGAACTAACAACATCTCCTGTTCAGGGAAATGTCACTCAGTGCCCATGCATAGTAGCAGTGTGAAACTCTTGCATAAGCTGTTGTCCAAATTTCTGAGATACTTTGCCTTTCCAGGGTGACTTGGGGCAGCAGAATGAACACTTCTCTGGATCAAAAAGATTCATTTGTAAGTTTTCATGATTCAGAGCAAACAGTGATTTGAGCAAGACAGTCATCATGCTTCTATTTCTGCATCAAGTCTGCAAGGTGACCACATGTCCTGGGTCCTGTGGACGAGACTGTTGATCAAGCTAATCTTATAGAATGTCAGTATTGGTGTTGTGTCAGGTACATAGTCATACAGCATGGAAATGGACTATTCAGTCTAGGCCAACCATAATCCCAAATTAAACACATCCCATCTGCATGCTCCTGGCCTATTTTCCCCCTAAACATTTCCTATTCATGTACTTCTCTAAGTGTATTTTAAATGTAACTGTTCTCACATTCACCACTTCCTCGAAGTTCATTCCACATGCAAACCATCCTCTGCGTTTAAAAAAAATTGCCCCCATGTCTTTTTTAAGCCCTCTCCTCTCATCTTAAATATATGCCCCTAGTCCTGAAATCCCCTTCCTCAAGTCAAAACACCTACCATTTAACCCTATCTATCCCCTCATGACTTGATGAACTCCCATACGGTCACCTCTCAACCTCCTAAGCACCAGTGGAAAGAAGCCCCAGCCTTTCTTTATAACTCAAACCTTCCATACATGGCAACATCCTGGTAAATCTCTTCTGAACCCTCTCTAGCTTAATACTATCCTTCCAATAACAGGGTGATCAGAGCCGGACACAGTACTCCAGAAGAGGCCTAACCAATGTCTTGTACAACCTCAACATGACTTCCCAACTCCTCGAAATGAATTACAACAATGAGCTGACCAAATCAAATGCAACATACCTTCAGTTGTTTGTGATCAGCAGAGTAGAGACAGTACTCAACTGGCCACTGCTTGTAAAACCCAAAACAAAAGTCTCCTGTTAGATGTGATTCCATTCAACACTTTCTGAACAGCATGTGCTAATAAGCTGCGCTAACACCCAATTTAAGATATTCAGTTGAGCTTGTGAAATGGCTCATTTACATTTACAAGAAACCTTCAAGCGGAGGGATCTGATCACTGCAAATAAATTCAATATGTTTTAGTTTTATTCCTTTATGATTTACCAGAAGCTTCAGGAACCAATAGTTCCCAGTTGCTTTGTCCATGGAAATACCTTGGTGAATCAAGGTCAATTCATCAACCAATCAACGTCTTTAAACAATAAAAACAAGGAATTGCAGATGCTGGAAATCTGAAACGAAACAGAAAGTGCTGAAGAAACTCAGCAGGTCAGACAGCACCTGGAGAAAGAAAGAGTTAATGTTTTGAGTTCAATGATCCTTCATCAGAGCTTTTGGTTTTTGTTTCAATCAGCATCTTTTTCTCCTGTGGTGTAATTTGTTGATAGATTGAACTCTGGCACTGTTGCATTTGTCACAATGAGTGCCATATAAAAAGCTGTGTCAATGTCTTTTTACCCCCAGCAATATTGACGTTCCTTACAACCAAGTAACTTTTTAAAATAAAATTGCTATTCTTCTCTTCGTTTTCTGTTATAGGTATTGTCATCTTTGTTTCTGACTCGAAAAGAGAACGCAGTATATTTGAGCTCTGTACATCTGCTAATAATATCAGATACAGACTGAATTGACACTTAGAACATAGAACATATGAAATTTAGAAATTTTGGGGCTGTTCTTCTGCATATATCCACTTCATTTTCAGAAATAATTGCTTTATGAGAAATCAGTGGAATTCTCTAAATTCAGTGCAAGTTAGAGATTGAATACAACATTGTGCTGAACTAATGTAATTTTGTTGTGTTAATGCAGTCGGAAACTTTTGAATATGCTACCCTGAGGAATTTGATTGATAGTATATGCTATTTTTACCTCTGGGATTTTGATTTAAATTTAGCCTCGACTAATGAGAAGAAAATATCTCTGTCAGTTGTAATAGTCTCCTACAAGATGAATTTCTATCTTGTTTGCAAAACTTGTGACTCTAGAAATTATGTGTAGTAAAACTCCTAATGTCACAAAGTTGTAATTAAAATATTCAGCTGACAAGCTGAATTTGTCTGGGTGTTTTTGCACATGTGCCACATTCAGCATTTTTGGACGAAATCTGATTTTTTTTTTTCTTTTTCTTCTTTTCTCCCAACTCCATGCCATATTCTTCTGGCTTTTTTGGCATTTGGGAATGCCTGATGTGCAAAACACATTCTCTGCTGCCTCAGAGATAGTAAGAACTGCTGATGCTGGAGTCAGATAACAGTGTGGAGCTGGAGGAACACAGCAGGCCAGGCAGCATCAGAGGAACAGGAGAGCTAATGTTTTGGGTCGGGACCCTTCTTCAGAAATGAGGAAGGTGGAAGAGAGCTCCAAAATAAATAGAGAGGAGGGCTGGGGTTGGGGAAAGTAGGTGGGATGATGGTACGTGAGTGCAGGTAGGGACTGGTGGGGATTGATCAGTGAGGTGGGAGGGGTGGATAGGTGGGAGAGAGGATGGACAGGTTGTGTCAGGTCAAGGAGGCGGGGTTGAGAGGGATGGTTGGTTATGGGATGAGGCCGGGGGTGGGGAGATTTTGAAACTGGTAAAGTCCACATTGAGACCATTGGGCTGTAGGCTCCCAAGGCGGAATATGAGGTGCTGCTCCTCCAGTTTCTGGGTGGCGTCATTGTGACACTGGAGGAGGCCAAGGATGGACATATCACCCAGAGAGTGGGGTGGGGTGTGGGGAAGTTGACATGGTTCGCGACTGGAAGGTGTTGTCATTTGTTGTGAACAGAGTGCAGGTACTCTGTAAAGCGGTCTCCAAGCCTCTGCTTGGTCTCACCAAAGTAGAGGAGGCCACAATGGGAAAGTGGATGCAGTAGACCATATTGACGGATGTGCAGGTTAACCTCTGTCTGATGTGAAAGGTTTGTTTGGTGCCTTGGATAGAGGTGAGGTGTAGGGACAGGTGTAGCACCTCCTGTGGTTGCAGGGAAAGGTTACGGGGGTGTTGGGGCTAGTGGGGAGTGTGGAGTGGATGGGGGAGTCACAGAGAGCATTCCCTATGAAGGCAGATAGAGGTGGGGAGGGAAATATCTCTTTGGTTGTGGGGTCGGATCATAGGTGGCGGAGAATGCTGCGTTGAATACGGAGGTTAGTGGAGTGATATGTGAGGACAAGGGGGATTCTGTCTTTGTTGTTATTGCGGGGAGGGTGTTTGAGGGCAGAGCTGCGGGAAACACGCGATGCGGTTGAGAGCATTTTCAACCACCAAAGGGGGGAAGTTGCAGTCCTCGAAATAAGACGACATCTGGGATGTTCGGGAGTGGAACACCCCATCTTGGGAGCAGACACGGCGGAGGAATTAGGAGTATGGGATCGCATTCTTGCAGGAGGGTGGGTGAGAGGAGGTGTGGTCTAGGTAGCTGTGGGAGTTGTGGACTTGAAATAGATGTCGGTTTTGAGGCGGTCGCCAAAGATAGAGACGGAGAGGTCCAGGAAGGAGAGAGGTATCAGAGATGGTCCAGGAGAACTTGAGGTTGGGGTGAAAGGTGTTCGTAAAGTTGTTGAACTGTTCAAACTCCTCATGGGAGCACGAGGCGGTGCCAATACAGTCATCAATGTAGTGGAGGAAGAGGTGGGGGATATTGCCAGTGTAGCTGCGGAAGAGGGACTGTTCCATGTATCCTGTGAAGAGGCAAACATAACTTGGGCCGATGTGGGCTCCCATGGCCACCCCTTTTGTCTGTAGGAAGTGGGAGGAGTTGAAGGAGAAGTTGTTAAGGGTAAGGACGAGATTGGTTAGGCGGATAAGGGTGTTGGTGGAGGGGGACTGGTCGGGCCTGCGGGAGAGGAAGAAACGGAGGGCTTTTAGGCTGTTCGCATGGGAATGTAAGTATACACGGATTGGATGTCCATGGTGATGATGAGGTGTTGGGAGCCAGGAAATTGGAAGTCTTGGAGGAGGTGGAGGGTGTGAGTGGTGTCCCGGACATAGGGAGGGATGTAGGGTCCTCTGGTGACCACCTCGAAACCAACATCTATTTAATTCACATCTATTACTGAGGGGACAGTGATATATTTCTAAGTCAGGCTGGTGACTGGTTTGGAAAAGAAATTGCAGGTGGTGGTGTTCCCATGTATCTGCTGCTTTTCCTCTAGGAGATAGAGATTGTAGGTTTGGAAGGTGATGCCCAAGGATCTTTGGTGAATTCCTCCAGTGCCACAATGATGCTACGCAAACTGGAGGAACAACACCTCATATTCCGCCTTGGGAGCCTACAGCCTGATGGCCTAAACGTGGATTTCACCCGTTTCAAATCTCCCCACCCCCGGCCTTATCTCATGTACAACCCTCCCTCTCATCCCTGCCTCCTTGACCTGACCCAACCTTTCCATCTTCTTCCCTACCCATCCCACTGACAAATCCCCACTACCCCTACCTGCATCCACCTATCACCACCCCACCCCCTTCCCAGTCCTGTTGAAGTGTCTAGGCCCGAAACGTCGACTCTCCTGCTCTACTGATGCTGCCTGACCTCCTGTGTTCCTCCAGCTCCACACTGTATTGTATTGCACAAACTTCCTGTCTAGTCAGCATTCAGGACAAGTAAGTGGCAAGCAGAAAGTGGGGACAGGCTGAGAGACTGACAGGCCACGACAGAGGGAGGAGAAGCAGTGAAAATTCCACAGGATAGACAAGTTCTAAAATGCTTCTAGGCTCCGTGAACTTCAGAGTGAATTTTGGCTCTTAATTCTACCTGATTAATGTCAGACATGGCTCTCGCCCATTAGTTTGTTCTCAGGAGATTAGCCAATTCTTTG